TGGGAAGAACTCTATTTATTGGAATCAATGGCTTGTAAGAGGGATATGCAAAATAAGTGACCTGTGTGTGGATGGAGTGTTCATGTCGTTTGCTGATATTATGCAAAAATATAATCTGGAATATAAAGGTAATTTTTGGAAATATTTACAAATAAGAGACTGTATCACAAAGGGTAAATTTAGTCACAACAAGAATACATTGATGGAAGTTTTGGACCTACCTAGTATAACACACAGAGCAGCCATATTCTACAAGACATTTAATGGTATACGAGAAGATATGTGTAAAAATCTGAGGATCATTTGGCAGAGAGACCTAGGGTGTGATTTGAGTGAGGAGGATTGGTTAAATATCTTATCAAATACAGGGAAACACATGAGAGAGGCGAAGGGGAAATTTATTCAGTACAAGATAATTCATAGATTTTATTTCACCCCTTCAAAACTACATAGAATGGGCTTAATAGGAAATAATTTATGTTGGAAGTGTCAGATCGAAATAGGGACATTTTTACATGTAATTTGGGGATGTAAACTGGTCTACCCGTTTTGGGAGAAAGTACTGGAACATGTGAGTAAATGGCTGGGTGTGGTGGTACCTGTATCACCAAGACTGTGTTTGTTAGGGGACCAAACAGAAATGTCAAATATATCTAAATATGAACGAGGGGTTTTAAAAGTTTGGATGGTCACAGCTGCTCCAACAATTCTCAGAGCATGGAAGAGTACAGTCGCCCCAGATGTTAAAAAAATGGATGGAAATAATGTCAGAAGTTGCATCATATGAATGCATGTTGGCTAGAATTAACAACGAAGAAGAACATTTTAGGAGTGCCTGGGAACGTATTGTTTTGTAGGTAGGGCATATGAAAAATTTGTAGACATGTTGCTGAAATTCTGGTTGTTTCAAAAAAGGAAATGTCGATTTGCAGGAGGCTTTTGTACATGGGGTTGTATGCTGGATATACTGTCTGTTGATGTTGGGGTCAGTGTTTGTTCTAGAGTTTGATTGTATGTTTATGTGTGTATGAATAAATAAAAACTTTAATGACAAAAAAATAATGGAAAATAGTTGGATGGCCTGACTGTACCGACAATAATTAATTCCAGTAATTTCAGGTTAATGACAATATTCAGCCAGAGAGCAATAATGCAGGACTGCAAGGTTTGCCTGATTCATGCCTGATCCCTGACCATGTGAGCAAATTTCCAAATACACACAACATTTTATCTGGACAACAACATTCAAGAGTAGCGTTCAAGCTGCAATCTCTGTGGCTTCAAATTAAGCCAACATGGAAGTAACAAAAACTGCAGTTCCTGAGGCCAGCTGGGGCTTGCTATAGCAGTGAGTCAATCTCCATAAGGCTCCATAATAAAATGGTCAACTTTACAGCAGAAATAAACATGTTTACAGCCTGGTACAAGAAAGAAATGTCATGTATTTGACATGAGTCACAGGCATGTTTTTTTTCTATATTTTTACACTGTGTGCCTACTCAGAGACAATAAAAATGATGCTTTGATGCTGAAAACCTGTGTAGGCCTACTTTTTCCACATAGAAAACTGATCAATAAGGAATCATTATTATAATATAACCATTTTGAGTTTTCCTTATGGGAGATCAATAAAGGAACATCTTATCTTATGAACATTCAATAAAATCTTATTTTCTTCCCATCCCTGCTTCTCATTCTTGCCTGTTCCTGATCCTGTGGAGGCTCAGATGTCTCATGATTACAGGGCTGTGGTCCATCAAGTCATATGAATATGTGTTTTCTACATCATCAGAGTCAGAAATAGCACAAGGATCCCTTTTTCAAACTAAACAACCATTACATCCATAGGCAACCTGAAGCTGGGTGTTTAGGTACTGATGTTTGCAGTACTTTCAAGTGAAATAGTGAACAGAGTGAAATATGTGTGAGATACTGGGTCAAAAGGAGCGTGCTGGAGAAGGTGATCCTATTAAATAGCTTTCTTCCAGTATAATCCCTGATCTGCATTGCTATTCATTTCACACCCACCGAAAGACAAAGACGTGGGATTGGATTTGTTAGAAATAGGTGGAACAGCTTTGCCCCTGCTCATTCACAGCACAACAGATAAACTCAGATCACCCAGCACGATCCAGACACCACTAATCCCAGCTTGGCTTAGACAGAGCGCCTGGGATTCAGGCGAAGTGCTATTGTTCACTGAGAGTCATTACACTCCCTGTCAACTGGAGTGCAGCCCATGATCACTAGATAGATAGAGTGGGAAGTACATATGAGCATGGTCGCCTTGGCTGTGGTCCACATGCGTGTCTGGGATGCAAGCTGCAATTTATTGAGAGTTAAGCATGAGGTGTGAAAAAAGCGAGCAAGGCTGAGAGGGAGGCGATAAACCGATGAACAGCAAAAGAAAGACAGAGATAAATGGAGTTGGATATTGTGTGCAAAAGAGGGTGTGGTGGTGAGTGTGCAAGTACATGGAAAGGTCATACAGTGTGTGCATGTGCATTTGTTTTAGTGCATCTCTGCACAGGATCATTAAGAAGAAAGTAGGTGTGCACACACGACCGAGAGAAGGAGCGTTTCACTCGTCTGCTTCTGCCTTCTGAGGTCAGCAAGTGGGCGACGCAGACCGCATCTCCTACCACAGAACATTAGTCATCGCGCAGCCTTCGGACCAAAAACACACTGATCTGACATCCGTGACACAAGGACCTTTCATGGCATGACTCATATATTCAGAGGTAAATGTCATTGGAATTAGTCACACGTCCAGTGAGTGTAGAGGAAGTTTTTGGATGGAAATACACATTCTTTCTGCAGACAGTAGGCACATTAAAGGAAAAACAAGTCAAATTTCCTCAGGTTATGATTATATATGGTACAGTTAAAACTGCAGTAGGTACATTTTTATAAAAATAACTGTCATATTTGCTGAAACTTTCACTATATCCTGACCGTAGAACATGAGATAATCTGTGAGAAAATCAGGTTCCTCTGGCTCCTCCTAGTGCTCCTAAGGGCATTTGCATGAATTCGCCGGGTCTAAATGAAAACAACCAATCAGAGCCAAGAAAAATAGTTGACTGTTGGCATCAAGGGGCATCCAGTACAGACACTGGGAATGAGACTTAACAATCAACTACCTTTAAGCCTCCAACCCAAAGCTTGTTTGAATCTTTCTTTGCTCTGATTGGTTGTTTTTGTTCAGGCCCGTGGAAATGCCATTTGCCACTAGGAGCACACAGAGGAGCCAAAGAATATAGTAAAAGTTAGAGTAAAACTACTGCAGCTTTAAGAGCAAATGTATACTCATAAGGTTTGGGTGATTATGTAAAGGGATATATACAAAAACTGAGATGAATTACCCAGATATGATAGAATGTAATTTTGACACAAACGTGTCATCTAAAACTACAGTGTGTTTAAAACAGCTGGAAAACAGTTTTACTTTATTATAAGTTATTCGTTGCTAAAGCTGAATAATTTAACTATTGCTTAATCTTCAGATAATTGTCTAAATTAATAAAATCAATGTCTGTCTCTCTCTCTCTCTCTCTCTCTCTCTCTCTCTCTCTCTCACCCCAACTGGTCGAGACAGACGACCACCCACCTAGAGCCGGAGGATCTGTCCTAGGTTTCTGCCTTTTAACAGGCAGTTTTTCCTTGCCCTTGTCGCCAAGTGCTTGCTCATGGTGGTACTGTTGGGTCTCTGTAATTAATGTTATAAAGAGTTCGGTCTAGACCTGCTCTATTTGAAAAGTGTCCTGAGATAACTTCTGTTATGAATTGGCGCTATACAAATAAAATTGAATTGAATTGAATTGAATTGAATTGTTTGGTCTAAAAAATGTCAGAAAATTCTTTTTTTAATATCTGCCACAGTTTACCAGAGCCCAAATGATGCCTTCAAGGATCTTCTTTTATATCACCAGCAGTCCAAAAACCGAAAAGAAGTTAAGAAAAGAAAAAGAAATTCTCTGATTTTAGCATCTCAAATCTCATCTTCCTTAGTCCTCTATGACAGTTAACTGAATATCTTTGGGTTGTGGACAAAACAAGAGGATGTCAGTTTGGGCTTTGGGAAACATTGATCAACATTGTTCACTCTTTTCTGACATTCTATGGACTAAACAACTAATCTATTAAGAAAACGATCAACAGATTAATCCATAATCATTCGATTCAACCCTACAACTGAACAACTATGGGCTTCATCTCTAAATAAAAGTATTTTACTGTAAAAAAGAAAAGCCAGAAATCAGTTTGATGCAATCATAAGTTATTCATAGGAACTAAATTCACATTGTGAGCCTCATAGATTTTTGCATTCAGTATAAGAAATGCAAATAATTAAAGACACAAATTTCAGGAGGAATACTGACATATGCAAGAGCTGTTATCCTTCATTGAAGTGCATATTAATCACAAAAGGAGACATGGACATGGTGGTACCGTTGGGTCTCTGTAAATAATGTTAAAAGGAGTTCAGTCTAGATCTGCTCTATTTGAAAAGTGTCCTGAGATAACTTCTGTTATGAATTGGCGCTATACAAATAAAACTGAATTGAATTGAAATTGAATTGAATTGAATGGAGCTTGTGAATAAGTTTTTGTCGCTTTGAGACAAATGAAGTGTATAAAAAATCGGCTGCAACTTGATGAACTGGTTTTGTAGCCTACATTCAGGAGAATTCGTAAATTAATTGATTTAAAAGAATAGTCTACTGTGATAAAATAGAATAAGAGCTAGAATCCAAAGTGCAACTAATGAAGGAGATTCGCAGAGGAGGAGCAATATTACGTTAATCAGAATGTATTAGTTCATAAAGCTAACTGGAATCTCCTCTTGTGCTTTGATTTCCAACTGTAATCTGTGTACAGTATGTTAAAGGATGGACTCGCTCTTAAAGCCGCAGGATCGTCTCCTCTGCGCTCCGCTGGTTCACTCCGTCACCACCGACCCACCGACCCCCAGCGACCACAGCCCCGTTCACACTCACCGAACTTTTGCGGCAACGGAAGATATTGCATCACTCCTCAGATTCTTCCTTTTGGACACGGCACTTCCCATGCTGAAGTGGAAACGACCCAGGAGAGAAAACGCGGACCATTCCACAGACTGATCGGCGAGGGAGACGAACAGGGGAGAAAAACACCGCGCGTGGAATTAAGAACCATCCGTGGGCTCTCCAACGACTGGCGGCTATTTCATGCTGATCATAGTGATCTGTTGATAATAGAAGCTGAAGGTTCCAGAAGGATGCAGGCTGAGCGTGGAGCGCAGCAGCTCTGCCGGAGGATGAACGGAGTGCGGTGGTGCGCTGCGCTCTCCTCTCCTCTCCTCATCCAACTGAAGCTTCCAGGAAGGAAACGGAGACCATAAAAGGAAGATCAACCCGCCTGCCTCGTGAACGGCGTGCACACGTGCGGGGTGGCCAAAAGCCTAACAGAAGATAAATATGCAGGATGATTGGAAGTGAGGAGACTAGTCCACAAGCTCCCCTGGTGCCCTATTCTTGGAAAAAACGCTGCAAAAGTAAGCTATAGGGCGCTCCTAAGGTTAACAAAATTTGATAAACTACCTCTAGGGTGCCCTTCCAGTGGAGAAAATATGATAAAGTGCCCTCTAGGGTGTTAATCCTTATCATGAACCGGCTCTAAGTTCAGACAAAACAAGGGAGACTACACTGATAATGAAGGTTTTTAAAACAACATTTATCAAAGGAGACATATTATACAAAATGCACCTTTTTAACACACATATTTGGCCTACCAACCCAGAAACTGTGAAAATAAATTAACTCAGTCCTTTTTTTGTGGGCTGGCAGAAGACCTCAGCTCCAACATCAGTTCCTATTTTGCTTCCCTTCCTATGTCAGAAGCATAGCACCACCTCCCCTCTGACTAACCACCTACCACGGAGAAGAGGTGCCTTTGCTGCTGTCAGCCATGTTTGGCCGGCAAGCCCCTGCTGTTCCTGAAAGCCTGGAGCCACAGCTGCCCTGATGTTTGCTGCAGGGACCAGCACAGAAGTCTACATGTCCTCCTATCATCAGAGGAAGATACATACTTTATTTTGGATTATTTATTTATTTTTGAAATGTGACTGAAATGTTCCCACAAGGACTGCAACTGCTTTGTCAAAGGAGTACCAGCTCACGGACCGATACGGACCATCTGTCACCCAACTTCACACTTGGAAGCTGTAAGTTTTTCTCTATTTAATGTTGTTTTACTGTTTATTGTGTAGGTATTAACATGCTGTGCAGCTAATGTGGCTAACACTGTAGTAACACTGGCTGGGCCGATGTCGGACCTTCTGTTGTAATATGAGGGACAGTCAGAAGCTGTGTGACTGTTAAGCCTCGTGAGAAGCTAAAAATACCAGGAGTAGTAGGTTGGAGGCTGGTGATTGTTTTTCATGTTAGCACGACCCGGCTGTTTGTGGAGTCAAACCGCGACTAATAAAGGTTTTCCGATCCATATATTAAGCGTTTCTGCAGAACTCGTATTACTGATGATATAAGTGCAGGTCCAGTGTAACATCTCCTACTCATATCGTCTCCTATTGTATTACAAACAACAAGGCTCACTGCTAAATGCATGTTTTTTTTACCGGGAACTCATGTAATTCGTTTCTTCATCAATAATTGATTAAATAAATTACCTGTTATCATTATAGCACTGTGTGTAGATGCTGCCATTAGCTACATATTTGAGATAAAGTTGGTAACCTCAAACTGTTTCCTTCATAAAGAACACCACATCATCACTACAGTTAGCTGCAACAAGCGACCCACCAGAGACACTTTATTTTAGTTTATAACTGAGGACTACTTTGATCCACAATGAGCCGTTGTACTTGTAGTGTATTATATTATACTTTATTATATCAGTGAATCTGCCATGTTTTCCAGGTGATCTGAGTGACCTGATGAAGCTCAGGTGTTCCTGGACCCATCAGAGGACAGTGACAGCTGCAGCATCACACATCAGGATGAACACTGACCTAATAACCTAATAAAGTAACTTGCCTAATAAGCATCTTACTTTATTAGATGAGTATTTCCTTCAGTTATGTTGACATGTTGTACAGAATAAAGTATTCCAGGCAGGTTTCTGCCTCATTATGTAAGTTTCCGTGGTCTCAGTAAACTAATGTGTACAAAGAATATAAGAGATGGGAGGTTACAGTAATCATTCTACTATTACTGTGATTACTTTGATACATTTACTGGCTGTTTCTTCACTAGAAACAATTGTTTGATTAATGTTTCATCCCGTCTGTTTCGTATGGTAACATCCTCACATCCGGGTAATTACAGTTTACATTATATATTATGCTACATGCACATGCTAACACATTTCCTCTTTAGCTCCTCACAGCAAATATTTTTAACTTCACTGGGCTGTGTAGCCTGTAGGTTACTGCTCACTGCTGTACCTGTAAAGACAAGCATAAAACACAGTGTTGGTTTTGATAGTATATACCTGAGGAAAACGTCACAGAAAGCTGTAATCCTAATTGTTGATGTTGTTCCTTTCTCTGTGATTTCAGGTCAGACTCCCGCTCTAACATGTCCGGTAGTGAAGGTTTTAGTTTAGAAGCAGTTATTGAATTCATATTCACGGTAGAAATGCTAAACTCAGTAACAGTGAGGAGCTACCTGCCTAAACACCAGCAACGCTGAGGCGGAAGTGGGAGGGCTGATGCTACGGCCTTGTCATAATGCTGACCAATCAGAGCAGACTGGGCTTTTTCAGGAGGGGGGCCTTAACATCGGTATCGGGTAGTACTTCGAGGCACTTCCACATCCTGTGTGTACCTGGTGACTGACTACAAAAATTCAGATGACTTGCAGATTTCATGAACTCACACCGAAATGTCTACTTCTCACTGATCAAAAGGCAGGCATTGACAGACACTGTGCAGCTCCAGTCTGCCTGTCATAATCTCCCAAGTTCTAGATTGAAGCTGTGAATCCCTGACTTTAATATGAAGAAAACCCCCAGAATGTCACTGCTAATCAGGCGCTTGGGCACAGTGGACTGTAACAAGACTGTCAGTGTATACCAACTCAGCACATGAGGACAAGTCAGTCAAGTCAGTACAACACAAGTGAGAGGCACAGACCTCTGAAAAGCATATACAAGAAAGAAGGGTATCTGAAACCAGGGTGAGGTGGGGTGGGGTCAATTTAACAGGGTTTTAGGATCTTTACAATCTGCTGATTTCAACAGTTTGGGCAATTACTTTTTAAAATGTAATATTACTAGTTTCTTTCAGTCTTTCTCTCAACCAGAAGTCGTTGTCAAATGAATGTACGCATATAGTTATATATCTATAGTAACTTTTATAAAAATAACTTTTTGTCATTATTGCTGAAACTTCACTGTTTTGACAATACAGACTTTTTGGGACCCTGGGAATGAGATTCAGCAATAAACTATGTTTCTTGGCTCTGATTGGTTGTTTTTGTTCAGGCCTGGGGGATGCAAGGAAGAGCCAGAGGAACCTGATTTTTTCACAGATTATCTGCCTCATGTACTACTGTCAGGATATAATAAAAGTTTCAGCAAATATTACACAAAGTAAAAGTTTTTATGTAGCTATAATTGCCATGTTTTATTTGAGTATCCAGTCACAGATGAATAGGTTATACAGCAACAAGTATATTTTATTCATCAATGCTACAGCTAGATAGCAAACAAAAACTCAAAGTAGAAAAGACTCAGACCCTGAACCCACAAAGTCAATTGAGTTATTATAATAGTAGAGTTAATTAGGTTTAGTGAGAAGGTATGACTAAAATATCAGTTTTTCTTTAAAGTATATTTTTTTGGGCTTTTATTGCCTTTATTAGAGTGACAGCTGAAGACAGACAGGAAAGGGGGCAGAGAGAGGAGATGACACGCAGCAAAGGGCTGCAGGTCGGATTCGAACACTGGGCCGCTGCAGCAAGGACTAAGCCTCGGTACATGGGTCGCCAGCTCTACCCACTGAGCTAACCAGGCGCCCTAAATATCAATGTTTTTCATTCTAACGAGCCCAGTGTTGTACACAGAACCAGCCCAGGAGGAGGAATTTGTCACGTACCTGACCTCCATGAAGCAGGGTCAACTCCTCACTGTATGCAGAAGACCACAATACCCCATCCATCACTCCACCTCTCCCTTACTTCCCCCTGCCCTCCTCCTTTGTTATCTCACCTTCTTCTTCCTCTTTGCTCTTCCCTCGCTCCGCCTCTCCACTCCTAGCATGTGAGGCCAGTCGGGCAATGGTAAGCAGTGCGTGTTAACAAATCGATTGTATGACTATGAAAGCAGCCATCAGTTTTTTGCTGCTATAGTGTGGCTCCCACGCCCATCCACAGTGACAGTTCTTCTCTACCCAGGCACACAATCACACACAAACACACATAGGCATTTGTATGTGTGCTTCCACACGCATATAATCTGTGTGCCTCATGCAGAGGAAACTCAGACAGTGAGGGATTTAGCATGTCCAATAAATGCAGTCAAATGGAAACCTTTTTTGATTGACCCCTATTTACTTAGTGTTATTACAGATTGTAAATATGATCCAATCATTATTTCTGATCATTTCATTATTAAGGTAACTCTTCCGACTCAGAGGACAAAACGGACATGGCAGCTTGACACACTCCTGCTGGCTGATTCAGACTTTGTGAAGTTCATTACAGAACGAACAGATTTCTTTCTGCAGGTAAATAGGACTGATGGCGTCTCAGCCTCAACCCTCTGGGAGACACTTAAAGCGTATCTCAGAGGACAGATTATTTCTCGCTCTGCTTATATTAGGAAAGTATAAGAATATTGAGGAGCTATTTTCAGAAATTAAGGCTCTGGACGGATTCATATCTGGTTCTCCGACCCCTGATTTGATTAGGAGGAGAGTAGGCTTACAAACTGAAATTGATCTCTTAACTACCACCCAAGCGGAGAGGCTCATCTTTAAGTCCCGTAGTAGATTCTATGAAGAGGGGAATAAACCTTCCAAACTATTAGCTAGTCAACTCCGCCAATAAGCGGCGTCCTGTATTATTTCGCAAATTATGCTACCTGATAGCTCATCAATGGAGGATCATCAGGCTATTAACAACTGCTTTAAAGAGTTCTATTTTAAATTATATTCTTCAGATTCAACACCAGATCACAACCAATTTGACGCTTTTTTTTCTAATCTGAACATTCCTACAATTGACTCTGACTCTAAAAAACGATTGGAACAAAATCTGACGCTGGAGGAAATTAACAATGCAATAATGTCCCTTCAGAGTGGAAAAGCTCCTGGCCCGGATGAGCTTCCAACTGATTTTTATAAAAAATTCAAAGATAAACTTGCCCCTCTTCTTCTCTCAGTCTATGCAGAACCACTGGAGAATAACATTCTTCCGCCTACGCTCCGCCAGGCATCTATTACACTGTTATTAAAGAAGAATAAGGACCCTCGAGATTGC